GTTTCAAATCAAATCGAAAGTACAGTTTCAACAAATAATACACTGCATATATTCTTCTTAGTGGTTAATTTCAGCAAAATGTTCTAAAAGAGTCCAGTAGCCCATAATAGCATTGGGTCTTCTGTTCAACTGGCAATGTCAGAAATTATTGACCTGAGTCCCCCTGTACATGCTTATTTGTAACACAAGGATTCAACTCAGTGTCTTGACACTAATTACATTCCCAGTCCTTCTTATCTGGTTTCTTGAGACAGGCTCTCACCAACTTAACCTGGCGAGCCTGCAATCCTCTTACCTCAGTCAGTCTCCTCAGGGCTGCTCTTGTGTCTGTGTTTTACTTTTCCACACCTCTATACACACTGTTCCTCTACCCGGCAGGCTCAGCCTATTTGGTTCTCAATTCACTTGTAAGATTCAGCTCAGAGAAGAGCACAGTGATGCACAACTGGAAGCTCAGCACTCAGGAGGCTGAGGCAGGAAAGCCAGTGAGCTTGGGGCTCGCTTGGGCTACATAATTTAAGGCCAACCTGGACTTCCTAGTGAGACCTTATCTCCAATAAACTAATTCAGATAAAATACTCCTTTAATTCATCTCTGCTGCTTCTCTCCTCAGGGAACTTCATTACTGAGCCTCTTTTCTTTTTATGTCTTCCATTGGCCTTTGGAATGCAAAGATGGTCTTCATGTTTTTATAAATAAGATCTAGTACATTTCTAGTAAAATACAAAAACAACAACAAAAAAACCCCAAAGCCCTTCAAATTTTTGAAAGAATGAATGGTATTAATTAAATACATCTTAGAATCTAATTGCCAGTGGTGGGCAGTTGCTAAAAATCAACTGTGGGCCGAGGTATAACTTAGTGGGAAGCACCGTCCAGCCCTGAGTTCTATACCGAGTACAGCAAAAAATGAACGCGAAAACTCAGCTGAAGCCAAAATACAGGTCACGCTTAATTGTATCTGACCATCTTCATGTGCAAGGCACCAAACTAAGCCATTCATGATTTTCCACTTTTAAGTTAATCTAAACCCCACATATCACGACATTCACATCCTTTGGCTAGAAATGGAGCCACGCTCGTGCTATACATGCTATGTGCTCTGGTTTGGGTCTAGATGTCTCCCAAAGCCTCATGTGGTCATAGGTGGGGCTTCTTTGGGTGTTAAATCTAGAGGGTGTGATGCCGGGACCAAGGACTACACTGAGTGGTGTGGCGCCGGCCTAATCCCGGTAGCCTGGGCACAGCACAGGTGACAGGAAGAGGCCTGTCCTCTCCTGTGTTTGCTTGTGTTGCTGCCTCCCACCTGCCATGGACTGTTCTCCGTGGCGGTGTCCCCCTCCCCATCACTCTGCCTGGGAGCCAGCTCGTTATGGACTGAAAGCTCTCTGCACTGTGAGCCAAATAACCTTTCACCCCTTTAACTCTGGCTGTAGGGTATTCTGTCTCAGCAGTGAGAAAAGTAAGACACCCTCCAACACCACGTGATGTCAAAGGAGTCACTATGACATACAGTTACAGAAAACTGTAGGGACTAAGGAACAATGAATTAATGTGAGAAATGTCATTAACAAGGCAGATACGGGTTTAAGAAGACATTACAGAAAACTTATTTTAAACTATATATTTTATTGAAGTTAGTAGTTAATTTTAAGTACAATATTTAAAAAAAAATGTTATCTGTAAAGTGTCAATTTTTTCACACCAGGATCATTTCAGCTTCACCTCCTCCTGCCACAGCAGCGCTTCTATTTTTCAGACGAAGCGTTCAAGTAGGATCTCTACCGCCATCTGGTGGTAACTCAGCGCAGGCCTGAGGCGGCTTTCACCGCCTGGAGGAAGCATCCTCAAGAGCCTTATCTTTTCTTTTTCTTTTTCTTTTTTTTGCGGTACCAGGGATTGAACTCAGTACCCTGCACTTGTCAGGCAAGCACTTATTCTACTGAGCTATCTCCCTGGCCCTTAGAGCTTTATCCTGTAGGAAAAGTTCTTCCAACTCAACCAAAAATCATAGCAAAAAACTCAAAAACTGCCTTCTTAAGAAAGCAAAAACAAAATCAGTCAATACAAATGGGACAGATAATGTAGGAAAACTCAAAGTAATGCAGGCGATCATCTCCTCACTCCAGGAAGGTTAACAGGAGTGAAAATTACAGAGGAAAGGGCTGCGCAAGAAAGGCTTTCTTTGCACTCTGATTTTTCACTCTATCTTTACAAAAATGGACCCCACTACTCTATTCAATTTTAGGTCCACCCTCCTGAGGGCACAGACCACTGACAACCTCTCCGGAAGTCCCTATCAGCAGAACCGAAGTTCATTTTCCAGACCGAACACTTTGGACTTGAGGTTCTTCAGTTCTCCTTGTATCTTTTGCGTGCGCCTATTGCTGTTGCGGACCTCACACAAAATGGCAAGGTCCTGGTTTGCCTGAGCGTTCATTGTTGCCTAGAGATTTGAAAGAACAACAGGAAAAGGATTATGGCATAAGCTGGGGGAAAGACATCTGTCACAAGACCAGGCTATGCTAGCTGGTCCTTTTAATGGTATGTTGAGTACATACAATAAATTGAATCCTTGGTTTATTTAGGGACTAACTTAAAAGAAAACGTAGAATTAAAGCAGAAAAGGCAAGACACTCTGCTTTCCCATTTTATAGTAAAGGAACTCTGAGGTAAAGATCAATAACTAACCTTGTGTTAAAAGAACAGACCAGTATAAACATGATTGGTAGATCTGCTGCAGGATGAAAGTCCCTCCACTTCTTCACCTTATTCAATACAGTGGACTTTAGGCAATGAGGATGGCTAGCTGAACCTCTAGTACTGAGGCAATTTGGATTCTAAAAAGCCAAGTCTTTGCCAGGCATGCAGGTGCACACCTGTAATCCCAGCACTTGGAAGGCTGAGGAAGGTGGACTATTGCAAGTTCGAAACCAGCTTGGGCTACAAAGTGGGTTCAAGGCCAGCCTGAATTACATAGTGAGACCCTGTCTCAAAAAGACAAAAAACAAAAACAAAAAAACCCCAACCAGGCAAGTCTTGAGGGTGATGTCATGGTCTGGAGACGCTGTCTTCCCTGGAAGGCTCACCGGGTTGAAGGCCTGGCTGCTGAGGGGCCTCTGGATCACAAGGGCACTAACTTCATCAGTGATTAACCCACACTTTGGTGGCATTCTTGGGAGGTGATAGAAGTAGGAGGTGGAACCTGACTGAGGGAAGCCACGGGCACATGACTCTGGGCCCTGGATTGCGTCCCTGATGTTGTCCTCTCTAGCCTCCCTTGCTCTGCTTCCTGGTTGTGATGTGAAGAACAGATCTCCTTCACCACAGCCTCCTGCTATGACCTTTAGGTCTTGGTGCCACTGAGCACGCACAGAAATCTCTGAAACTATGAGCCCCAGTAAATCTCTTTTGCTTTCAATTGTTTATGTCAGGTACCTGATCACAGTGAGGGTCATCTGTCAGTCTACCACCCAGGAAATAGCCCATCTGTCCTCAGAGGAGCCCTGTGACAATGTTTCCAAACTTCTACCCTTTCTCCCTGAGGTGTGGAGACCAGCAATTACCTTGTACAGCATTTGCTCCAAGTCCTTCAGTTTCTGTCGAAGAACCTTAATATCTGTCTTAAAGCCTTCTACTTCCAAGTTACGTCGGTGCTCCAAGGCCTCGTAGCGTTTTGTCATTATCTGTAAACGCTTCCCCATGTTGTTGGAACGACCCTAAATACAGGGGTAGGGAGGCTTTCATGAAGCAGGGAAGCATTTCCCAGCAGTCCGTACTTCCGCCTCCATCATGAATGCAAAGAGTTTCATACCTTGAAGATCTCTCTCTGCACTCCCTCCTCCTCCCGGATTCGGGCAAGTTCTTCTTCTAAGGAGATGCACTGCTCTTGGTACATGCTGGACAGCTTCTTCTCTTGTACTAACTTATCCTTCAAGGACTGCAGGCCAAAAGGACAGAGAAGTTTTAATGCCCAAGTTCACAGTTTGTTTTTTAAACAGCACTTAGGTATTGAAAGAAAAGAAACATAAAAGGATTACGGGTCCTTGTGCTTGCCAGGTAGGTGCTTATGCCTCTGAGCTAGCTCTCCAGCCCCAAGATACTCTTAAAAATCAAAGCCCGGTATGGTGGTGATGCCTACAATCCCTGCACTGGGGAGGCTGAGGCAGGAGCATCACTGCTTCTTAGCTGCCATGTAACGGGCAGATCTCCTCTTCACACCCTTCTGCCATTATAGTTTTTCTGAACTACACAGTGAGACCCTCCCTCAAAAATCCAAAATCAAACCAACTAAATCAAAACAAAAACCATTAAATCAGAGTGTTGTATGACTTAGGAGGCTAGGGCAGGAAGATGGGAAGTTTGAGCCCAGCCTGGGCAATTTAGTAAGACTGCATCTCAACATAAAATATGAAAAAGGTTGGGAATATACCTCAGTGGTAGATCCCGCAGGTTCAATGCCCAGTACTGCAAACAACTTTATTTTTTATTTTATTTTTTTATTTATTTTTGTGAAACTGGGGATTGAACTCAGGCCCTTGTGCTTGCCAGGCAAGCTCTTATTCTACTGAGCCATCTCCCTGGCCGCCAACTTTAGTTTTTTTGAGATAGGGTTTTGCCATGTAATTCAGGCTGGCCTTGAACTCACTGGGTAGCCCAGGCTGGCCTTGAATTCATAGCAATTTTCCTGCCTCAACCTCTCCAGTGCCACCATGCCTGGCTACAAACATTCTTAAATCGGATGTTTTGTCCTTCTACACAATCCTTTGAAGACACAATGTTCGTAAATAGGTTTATGGTCCTAAGCATGTGTGTGGAACCCTTCTGATTGGTGCGCCCATGCTTCATGCCTCATACACTTCACTTCCCCTTAGTGGGTATACTACGGGACAGCCTTCCTTCTCCTTGGGTAAGCTCAAGCCTTTTAACTTTGCTTCTCCTGTTAGAAATGCCTTCCCCCAGGTCAATATGGCAGCTTAGTCCCACGTTGTAAGTCTCCACAGAAACACTGGGCACACAAGAATCCCTTAGCTGTGAATGGTGGTGCCCACCCCTAATCTCAGCACTTGGAGGCTGAGGCAGGAGATCACTGTGAGGTCGAGGCCAGCCTGGGCTACCTAGGTAAGGAGTCTAAGGCCAATCTGGGCTATGCAGCAAGACCCTGTCTCTGTGCACCCTTTTCAAGTGGCTTCAGCAACTATATACAGTCTTTATACAATCCTCTTATTCCTCTGATTTTTTTTTTTTTTTGCTTTTTTCCCCGCATACCAGGAACCAAACTTGAGACCTTACGCTTGCCAGGCAAATGCTTATGTTGCTGCGCTATCTACCACCCAGCCTAGTCATCAGATATAATTTTTTATAGTCTGTGGTTTTCCTGGTTATTTGTTCATGCTCCTGCTTTTTTCCTCACTCATTAAAATGTGAACACATCAAGCAGAGGCCCTGTCTAATGTACACATGGCTGCAATCCCACAGCCCGGACTATCTGGTGAAGGGACAACCAATCAACAGTCAAGTATTTCAAGTTTCCCAACACCATAATGTCAGTGACTGTTTGAGACCTATTTCATGAGGCTGCTGCTATCCCAGCTTCCCGGACTGAATGGATCTTACATGACGATCCATACATCTTTTGGAATTCTCTGAGTTCTTTCAACTCTTCCAGAAAAATAAGCCATTTCTATAATACATAAGGACACTACCTTAATATACTCATTTTGAGCATGATGCCCGTCGCGTGCAACTGGGAAGACTTTCCCACCTTTATCTTCTTTCTTCTTATACTGCACCCTGTACTGCTTGATCTCTGCCATCAGATGATCCTTCTCCAGCATCCATGACTTTTCTTTATTTTGGTTTTCAAATTTCAGTTGCAAAAAGTCTTTGGTGCTCTCATACAGTAGTTCTTGGGTATGATGGAGACTACAAAAAGGCGGATACAGACATGAGAATTCTCCCAAGGCACATCTGCAATACAGTTCTTCCATAAGAGAAGATACAGGTTTTTTTAAAATTGAACAACAGTCGGTGGGGGGTACATGCCTGTAACCCCAGCACTCTGGGAGGCGGAAGTAGGAGGACTGTTAATTCAAACCCAGCCTGAACAATATAGTGACCTAACAAGACTCTGTCCCCAAGTAAAAAATAAAAAGGACTGAGCCTGTAGCTCAGTGTAAAGGCCCTGGGTTCAATCCCTAGTACCACCAAAACAGACAGAAAGACAGACTAGAACAATATAAGAAAAAAAAGAACAATATAAGAATTCTGGGGGCTGGTGAGATGGCTCAGTGGTCTAAAGCACCTACTTAGAACAAGCTTAGCAAAGCACAGGGACCACGGTTCGATCCCCCAGCACCACATGCCAGCCAGCCCCGCCCCCTGGTGGGCTGAGCTGGCCACACACACACACACACACACACACACACACACACACATAAATAAATAAATAAAATAAAATTAAAAAAAAAAAAAGAATTCTGTAAAATATCAGAAGTTTTAGTGGTCTGCTCACTGGCAATCTTATGTGATTTACTAGGCCAAGTAGGATGCATCCACGCATGCTGCCTTGTTCAGACTGGCCTTCCCTGTGTACCAATCTGAGGTTACAGGATTAGAAGGGTGACAGAAAGATTTATATGTAGCCTGCTAAGTACGTACCATTCCCAGGAATGATGTTCTGAGTAAGTGTTAATAGAAATTCCAAAGTATCAAAGCTAGCTCTGCTTTTGTTCACACTGTGCTCAAGGATGACAGCCTTGTATCAAAATCTTTGTTTCTCTGGACTGAGACTATCTCAATACTTTTAGGCTATTTTAATTTCTCGATTCTCTAAAATTCCTTGCAAGTTTAACAGACACCTTGTCTTAGGTATCCAGTTTCTGTCACTGAGACCCACAACCTAAAGGAAGAAATGGCTTATTTGGTCCATGGTTCCAGAGGACTCACTCCATGGTCAGCTGTTCTACGGCAGGAACATTATGGTGGAAGGATACGGTGAGGCAAAGCTGTTCATGTCACGGTGGCCAGGAAGCAGAGCAGTACCCATGAGGAACAGGCTGGGGGGCAGACCCAGCGGCCAGGGTCCCACCTCCATGGTCCATCCAAATACACCGCAGGCTGCTTTTCTTGTCTGAGCAGCTCTCAAGTCATTTTTGTTTGTTGTTTTTTAAGACTCGGTCTTGCTGAGTAGTTCAGGCTGAACTTGAACTCACTATGTGGCCCACATTGGCCTGGAATGAAGAGCAGTCCCTTGCCTCCACCTTCCAAGTGCTGGGATTTTAGGGATGCACCACTATGCCTGCCTGAAGCCAATTAACTTTTACAATCAAGGTTAACTGTCACATTACACCCCTTGTCAACTTGATACTCAAATATATCTCTTTAAATTACATTTAATCACGAAATAAACAGGTCACAATATAACTGTCCCACATACAACCAAAAATAAATACAGGTCATAATTCTGCTTTACGTGATTTAACTGTCCCACATATAAGCCAGACTGCACTAATGCCATCCCCAAAGTCTTAACAGTTCCAGCATTGTTCAAAAGTCCAAGTCCAGGGCTGATGAGATAGCTCAGCAGACTAAGTGCCTGCTTAGACAAGAGCAGGGACCAGGGTTTGATCCCTGGCACCACATGCCGTGCTAGCCCCACCCCCAGGCATGCTGAGCTGGCCACCGGGCATGGTGGCGGATGCATGCAATCCCAGTACTTGGGAGGCTGAAAACAGGAAGATCACTATGAGACTGAGCTGCACAGTGAGACACTGTACCAAATACATTTAAAGAAAAAAAATCCAAGTCTAAAAACTCCTCTGAGACTCAAGGGAAACTCGTAGCTCTAAATCCCTAAAAATTCAAAATGTAAGTTTTGTATTGCCAATATACAATAGTAAATATTACCACGTCAAAGGGGAGGAAAAGTTAAAGAATAGAACCAAAGCAAGACCTGAACTGAATAAAGCAAACGTTAAATCTGACAGTTCTATGTCTGGTACCCACAGCGCATGCTGCTAAGATACAAGTGCCAGCAGGCTTGAGTAGTCTGCCCTTGATGGCCTTGCTGGCTTCTGCCTACGTGGTCTCTTTCCTGGGCTGGCTCTACTTGCTGTCTGTGGCGTGGTCAACTTTCCATGTTCCTGACATGAGTTCCTGAGGTCTTTGCTGTACCTTCCGCTTTATCCCTACAGCTTCAGGCGTCCTCCTCTCAGATGCACATTGCCTGGCCTCCCAAGTCTTCCTTTGAAATCTGAATGGAGACCTCTTTGACCCCACAACTCACATTCTGCATGCCTGAAGAGTCACTATTATGTGGACAACTTCAAGGTCTGCCACCAGCTCTAGTAGTAACTAGGCCCCCTCGGACCACGACTACAGTGGCCTCTGAGTATCTAGATGGCTGAGCACAATGAAATGAATCCTGGGACACCAATTCCCTACAAGGTCTCTCTTGAGCAGGGATTGAACCAAGGGCCTTCACACTTATGTGTCTCCCCAGCATTTTCCTCCATTTTTTTTTTTTTTTTTAAAGACAGGGTCTTGCTAAACTGCCCAAGTAGGACTTGAACTTGCAATTGTCCTATTCAGCTCTTCAGACTGGATTAAAAGCTTGTGCTACCAGGCCGGAGAGTATACCACACTGAAAGTGAGCCTCACACAAAGTTTTAGGGCAATGGTAAGGTGTAGATAATTTTTTGCCAAATGAAACACACAGGGCTTCTAGTCATATTCCCAATAAAATCCTTCTTCTCAACTAAAACCTTACCTTAGTCTTTACTGTCCATATTCCTAACAGCATTCTAGACTTTTTTTTTCTTCTTGAGACAGGGTTTCACTATGCGATTCAGGCTGGCCTTAAACTCACTTTGTAGCCGAGGCTGGCCTTTAACTCACAGCAATTCTCTTGCTTCAGCCCCTCAAGTGCTGGGATTATTGGTGTGTACCACTATGCTTGGATAGCATCCTAGAGTTCTGAGCTCCAACCAGAAGATCTGCTTACAGTATCCTAGGGCTTCTCTAGCCCTCAATGCCAAAGCTTCCCAAAGTTTTCCTGTAACTAGTCCTAAAGGCTTCTGAAGCACATGGTCAGGTAAGATCAAGGCAATAACCACACTTTTCCAGCCTCAATTTTTGATATTGTTTAGTGTTTCTGTTGCTGGGACAAAACATTTGATACCATCAATCTAAGAGAGGAAATGGCTTATTGGGCTCTCGATTTCAGATGATTCCATCCCAGGGCAGCTGGCTCCACGGCAGAATCATCATGGTGGAAGGGGATGGAAGGGCAAAGCTGCCCGCTTCACAGTGGCCAGGATGCCAGCCAGGGGCAGTGCCAGAAAGAAAGGGGTCGGGGGCCAGATACACCACCCAAGCCCATGTCTTTATAACCTACCCAGACATACCCAGAAGCGTACTACTAATCTTCTCTGGCTGACCCTAAATTGACAATCCAGCTTTATACTTGCTTATACACCACGTGAGACGTTCTATGTCTAACATGTTTTCCCAGGTGAGGTAAATGGACATAACCTATTTATTATATTTTTTTGTCCCACTTTCATGATTGTCGAGGACAGTATCAACTACAGGACATGCACAAGCCATACACATAATGACTATGTTTGAAATTTAGGAATAGACAAATGATGTCTGTATCTTTGAAACAGAATATTCCTAGAAGCCAGCAGCTCATTAGTTTAACAACAACACTTAGAAAAGAAAGCTATTATATTGAATGATCTAACTGCCTGCAAGAGTATTAAATACCACGAAGCAATGGCTATAGTTTTCCACTGAACAAATGTGTGATTCGCTTAGTTCTTTTCATTAGTAATAGGATACACAGATAAGTGGAAAGTGATAGCACTGTGTCAGGCACGGGGTACAGCAGATGTCCCAAGTGAACACGGATGTATTTATTCAGCTGTGTTTATGTGCGCATACAAAGAAGGAAGAGGCTGAATCAGTTAGCACAAGATTTCTCTTGCTTTCAAGGAGTCATTTTATTCTATGTTATATTATGTTCTTTCCTCAAAACAGATAAAGTATGGTCTGATGTACAAGTGACTTGAAAGTTAACACCAAGAGGACAGTCACTGATGGTCTAGGACAAGATGGAGAACCTTCTGGAGCCTTCAGTGATACAAATAGCCTACTGCAGTGTGCCATAGGTTCACGCAACTGGCCTAAGATTTCTTTTTTTTTTTCCTACTGTATTTTAGGGAAAGGGTCTACAGGGTGCTCAGGGTCTCACTATTAGATTGGATTTGTAGTGATTCTCTTGTTTACAGCCTCCCCAGTGCTAGGATTACAGGCATGCAACACCACATCCCAGTCTCAATTGCCATCTCAGTGAGCCTCCAGGGGCAGGGCCAGCACAGCAGGCCTAGGGATCGAACCCTGGCCCTTGTGCCTGCTTGCAGGCCTAGCCTAAGATTTCAAATAACTCAATAAACTTAAGATGATCTATTAATGGAAGAAAGGCCTTGTGTACTCAGATATGCAGCTGATGCAGAAGTAGGGTGAAATAGAAACAAGCCAGGCATGGTGCACACCTGTAATCTCAGCACTCAGGAGGCCGAGGCAGGAGGATTGTTGCAAGTTCAAGACCATCTTGAGCTATAAAGCGAGCTTAAGGCCAGACTGAACTGCATGGTGAGACCCTGTCTCTAAGAGACAAAAATAAAAATTGCATAAACATATAAAATTACAAATTATAGGCTAGGGGTATAGCTTGGTGGTAGAGCTCTTGGCTAACATGTGTGAAGCTCTGGACTTGATCCCTACAATAAAAATACGAGAGAGAAAATCTTTAAAATTTAAGATGTTTAATGCAGAAAATCAATAGTACAATTTGATAAGCATCATCAAATATTCAACATGTATTTGTAGTCTGACTATTGTGCATGCAGGGCAAGGCAAATGTCACATGAAAAGCAAGAGCCGGGGAAACAGACATAATTACACTACATGGAGCTAGGTGTCACCAGAAAGGCTCACCAATCATTATGGGGATGTGGATGTGAAGAATTTATTTGGGCTATGGAAGTCTTTGGTTTCTTGTTTCATTTAGTTATTTTCATTTTGGATAAGTATTCAGAGAAGGGATCACACTGTTTATCAAGGTGCCTGCTACAAAACAAGTGCTCCACAAGTACCAGTTATTATCTGGCTGAAGCTCAAAGTAATAAAAGCAATAGGGGAGGAGTGGAGGCTCAAAGATTAATTTGTCAATCATCTTGTGATAAGATGATGAAGTCCCTAAGAATTCATGCTGAAGAGTTAGGGCTTTATTGTAAGTGGGAAGCAATCACATGTTTTAGCAGTTGATAACCATTAAGGCAAGAACTAATATGAGGTAGTGATAAGGGCTACAGAACACACAGAAACAAGGGGAAGGAAGAGACAGGAAATTTGGCTTCAGTAATGGCGCATTTAAGGTGTCCAACCACTCAGTGGAGGGCATCTGCATGGCACAGGTCTGGCCACTGGGACCAAACAAAAGGGTCAGGATGGCGAGAGAAGGTTGAAGAACCAGGACACACAGTGCTGCAGAAATTAGAGGGGGCGCATTTCAATGAGGTGAGCAGTGATGCTGAATATACAGAAAGATACTAAATAAACTAGTCTTAGAAACCAAGAAGTCAATGATGATCTTGGCAAAGACTTGTTTTGGTGAAAGTGTGTGTATGTGTGTGTGTGTGTGTGTGTGTGTGTGTGTGAAATGATACTGCGGAAATGCAAGGAAAGACAAGCAGGTAAGAAATAAAAATGCTCACAAATAAAAATAAAAAATAAGGGGCTGGGGAGATAGCTTAGTGGTCTAAGTGCCTGCCTGGCAAGTGCAACGTCCTGTGTTTGACGCCTGGTACCACAAGTCATGCCAGCCCTGGAACCCCAGGTGTGCCATGCTGGCCACAGAAACTGGGTTTGGTGGCGCACACCGGTACTCCCAGCTCTGGGGCGGCTGAGACAGGAAGATCACTGAGTCTGAGCTGCGTAGTGAGACCCTGTACCAAATAAATAAATAAATAAATAAATAAATAGCAAAATGTTGAATACTCAGACTGCATTGTGTACTTTTTCTTTTAGATTCAGTCCTGTTATGTTGCTAAGCTGGCCTCAAACTCCAGAGCTCAAGCAATCCTGCCTCAGCCTCAAAGGTAGCTGGGACTGTAGGTGCATGCACCATGCCCAGCATGCAATATTTTTTAAACAGGTATAAAATTATGAAGGGCCAAATGAAAGGTCTTATTATACTGAGTAAAATACTGCTGGTGGATAAAAGAACATTTCTCAATCATTCAAATAAAGCTAAAATGGGTTATAAGGATCATATGTAATATTTACTAGTCCTTTGACAGAATTAAGAGAACTGATTAAAAGTAAGCCTGGAAAAGCCTGAACATTCACCTCCCTGGAGGCAGCAAAGTCTGAAGAAGACAAGCTTTTCAAGGTCCCTTTTCTACACTCCCCTGTTGCTGCAGTACAGAACTCTTTTTTCTTTTTGTAGCATGGGGAATGGAACCCAGGGCCTTGCACATGTTGCCCCTGAGCCACACCTCCAGCCTGAGAATTATTAATTTTAAAGCCATTCCGAAAAACCAAACACTCACCTTTTGGTTAGCTCTTTGACTCTGTCCTGATTTCTCTGGTGCTGAACTTGTATTTCCTCAATGCGAACACGCCTGTCCTCCATGAGCCCTTCGACTTGCTCTCTGGAGAGCCTGGTCTGCTCTTCCAGCTGTGCCTGCAGTGCTTCCACCTAGACAGGCCAACAGGTGAGACAGCTGCCCTGCTTCCACCGACTTCACCTCCTTAGAAGTGAGCACTTCGCAGGAAATAGCAAACAAAAACAATGCCCAAAACCAAAAACTCAGCAACAAAACAAACAACAAAAAAACTCTGCTCTAATTCTCCTATTTAATGTCTTTGTTTGTTTGCTTGTTTGTTTGTTTTTGACACAGGGTCTCACTATGCAGTTCAGGCTGGCCTTGAACCCACTATGTAGCCCAGGCTAGACTCGAACTCACAGCAATCCTCCTGCCTCAGCCTTATAGGCATGTGCCACCATGCCTGGCTTAGTGTCTTATACATGGGTTTGGGCAACACAAGAGCAGATTCTTTGTCCACACTAAGCTCACATCTGTATCATATGGGAAAGTGACAAAACCTGGCTTTCCTGACCCTCTGATTCTTGCCATTAGGACTATTAGGACTTTTAAGATGTGCTGCTTACACAGAAAAAGAATGACTCAGGTTACAGCAAAATGAACACAGTGCTATTTTCTGCTCTGAGGTTATCAGGACAACATGGAAATAACTGGCCAAAAGTAGAAATTGTCATATACATCAAGGGCCCCGACTCAAACCAGAGCAACTCAATAAAAAAATCATGGTTCCAAATGGTATACAAATGCCAGGTTGCGGGGCTGGCTAAATAGCTTAGCAAATTAAAGCACCTGCAAGCACATGCAGGAGCTGGGGTTCAATTCCCAGGCCTGCCATGCTGGCCCCACCCCCGGGGTGTGCGAAGAAGGCAATTGAGACTGGGCATGGTGGCACACACCTGTAATCTCAGCACTTGGGAGGCTATAAACAGGAGAATCACTGCGAGTCCAATCTAATAGTGAGACCCTGAACACCCTGTAGA